GCAGTCCAGGACTTTAACCTACAACACCACACTAGGACTCCATATTAAGAACATCGTTGTTGTTGTTAAGTGCTTCTGAGTCGGTTCTGATGCATAGCAACCCTGTGTGGGGTTTTCAAGGAGCAGCTGGTAAGTTTGAACCATTGATCTTGTGGTTCAAACCTACCTTTCAGTCCAGCACATTAACCCATAGTGGCACACCAGGACTCCTGTTCAGAACATAATTAAGGTTGGTGTTAAGTGCCATCGTGGTTTTGACCCATAGCGACCCTGTATAGTATTTCTGAGCAACTGCTGATGAGCTTGAACCACCAACCTTGCAGTTCATACTGACTTCGTGGTCCAGTGCATTTAATCACAGTGCCACACCAGGACTTTGTTAAGAACATAGAGGAGAAGAAATCTAGTTCTACGTGAAATGAGGCTGAATGAAAACAAGAATGAAAGAGCTGGGCCCTGCGTGTTAACTTGCTGATGTCGTTAGATACCATGAAGTCATTTTGGACTCATAGTGACCCCATGTGACAGAGTAGAACTGCCCCATAGGATGTTGGTAAGTGCCCTTGGGTCAGCTCTAACTATAGCAACGCTGTATAGGGTTTCCAAGGAACAGCTGGTAGGTTTGAACCACTGACCCTGTGGCTAGCAGTCCATGGCGTATCCTACAGTGCTCCATCAGGACTCCGTTCCATAGGATAGTCTAGGCTACAATATTTATGGCAGCAGATGCCCGAATCTTTCTCCCTTGGAGTCGCTGTGTGGGTTTGAACCCCAGCCTTTTAGTTAACAGCCAGTCACTTGTCTTTGCACCACCTGGGCTCCTTGAAAGCCAGTGAGGGGAAAAATGTTAGTGACACCTAGCAGGGTTGGTGAATTGGAATGATGATAGTGCTTAGTTCACAGCCAGAATTGCTGGAACGCCATCATGTCTTCACCTCTTCCTGGAACAGAGCAAGGCTGGTTTAAAATACTCTGCTTTGGTACAGAGGTGCATCCCTAATGATGGCTAACTTCTTAGTTGGCATGCATGTGTCTCATGATTCGGTCTCTGCCTTCGTTTCCTGCCTTTCGCCCACCAGCCTCCTGTTATCCTGTACCCACCTCTGCGCCTTGTAGTCCTAGCAAGTCTGTGTCCTTTTTTTTTGAACATGTGGCGATTTCCTCTTTGACTGGAAACAGGTTATTTCTTCTGCCTGCACTGTCCTTCCCAAGGTGCCTGGTCACATCAGGGGGAGATGTCCCTTAGGCATTTGGGGACTGGTGAGATGAATATATCAAAAGAGTTCAAAGCCAAGGGCTTCTTGGTTTTATTTTTAGAACATGTGTGATTTCTCCCAAGGACGGAGGGTTTGATCTGATCTAAACAGTTGGGAATACAGAGTGGTTTGTTTTTGTTTAGGGCCTAGTCCTTTGGCTTCCATTTCACCAGTTAGCCACATATTTGCAGTATTTTTATCAGTCATCAGCCTTTTCACTGGGGTATCTGGGTCACTTTGGTCATGTTGGCCAAACAGAACATCAGCAGGAAGAATCGGAGCATGGAAAATGTGCTGCTGCTGCAAGCCCACAATTAAATATGTATGTGGCTATTTTAAATGTCTGTATATGTACGCACAGAGAGCACAGAAGCACCGTACTGTATGCACTAGACTGCTAACAACATGGTCTGTGGTTTAAGCCTGCTTTGTGGGAGAAAGATGAAGTTTCTGCTCTCACAAAGCTCTGTTGTTGTTAAGTGCTGTCAGGTCAGTTCCGACTCATAGCAACCCTGTATAGGATTTTCAAGGAGCAGCTGGTGAGTTTGAATCATTGACCTTGTGGTTCAAACTGACCTTTTGGTCCAGTGCTTCATCCCACAGCGCAACACCAGGACATGTAAACCGTATACAGGGTAGCTGAGTTGGAACCAATTCAGTGGCACTTACCAATAATAACAACATATCTGTTGTTGTTGTGTGCCGTGGAGTCGGTTCCGACTCATAGCGACCCTGTACAGGGTTTCTGAGGCTGTAAATCTTTACGGGAGCAGATCGCCTCATCTTTCTCCCGCGGAACCGCTGGTAGTTTCGAACTGCTGACCTTGCGGCTCGCAGCCCGATTCGTAACCACTACGCTACCAGAGCTCCTTACAACATATCTACATACACATATATTCTCCCTCTCTCTGTCTCTCTCTATATATGGAAGTATGGTGACTCTGTAGGATAAGTACTGCACTGCAAGCCACAAAGTTGGTAGTTTGAGCCTACTAGCTGCTCAGTGGGAAAAAGATGAGGCTGTCTGTTCCTGCATAGAAACCCAATGCAGGATTGCTAATAGAGTCAACCCCACTGCATTTGACAACAACATATATATGTATGTATGCACATACGTTATGTATGTATATTTAGTTGGGGCTGCCATGTGACCTTTACTTTTAGGAAATTTTATTTCTTCCGCTTTAATGCTTGGAGGTCAGACATTGTAGGAAGTCTGGTGTGGTGCTATAGGATAGGCACTGGACCTCAAACCACAAGGTCAGCGGTTCAAACCCACCAGCTAGCTACTCCCTGGAAAACCTGTATAAGGTGCTATGCATTGGAACAGATTCGATGGCACTTAACGACAACAACAAACAATGTAGAGCTGATGCTTAAAAATATCTCAAGCCATTGGTGTTTGCAGGGCGTCTTTGAAGTTAAATCTATGGCATCCTTCTTTTGGTTTATGGCTGCAGGATGATGCATACGTGCATTGTCTTTGTTAATTAACTCCATCTGTTTGGTAAGGCTGAAAAATAAATTGAATGATGCTGGATATACTCATATGTATGTATGGAAGAGACTCCTTGTCAGATAGTGGGCCAGCAGCTCCAAATGAGTTTCCAATTTTCTTTTTAGTGCCAGTTGCTAAAGTGTCCTGGAGTGGAGGCTCATTCTTTCAGTGCCTGCTGTGAAATGAGCACAGTGTGTCATTGCGATTGTGGTGTGTGCATGGAAATCCATGTCCTCTTGAAAGGGGTATTATTAAGTTTCCTCTCTACTTTGGAAAAGGGTAGTGATTCTCCAAGCGCTCCTTTTATAGCAGATGAAGGAATACTTCATCCTGCAGAAAGAAGATTCCTTTTTGTAATGTGGAAATCAGAAGGACAACATCCTTACACCTCTATGAGAGTGCTCAAGAAAGGAAGTCAGACTCCCGCTTCATGTAGGTCCCCCTTGGTGAAAGCCTCTCACAGTACTGAGTTTCCCTTTTCAGGTCATAACAGGGGCAGGTGGAAAAGTTTTAGACAAAGGAAATTCAACTCAATGCTGTCTAGATCCCCAAGACCTCAGTTCACCAGTGTCACCTTCTAGGTGAGGACAGAACAGCATGTCTCAGAAGGTTGAAGGAGATGGTGTGATGTGGGTTGCTAAGGGAAAAGCTATGAGGACATGGCCATTGTTGTTGTTAAGTGCCATCAAGTCGGTGCCATAGCAACCCTATATAGGGTTTCTGAGGGACTGCTAGTGGGTTTGAACTGCTGACCTTGTAGTTTATACTGACCTTATGGTCCAGCGCATTATCCTGTAATACTACATCAGAACTTTTCCACGAATCCCATATGTAGTGGTTCCTTTGCTTGTCATCAGTGAGTTCATGATTTCAGTACCCAGCTGCATAGGACAATATATGAGTTTCTAATTCTCTTTTCCACAAGGAGCTCCTGTAGCGTAGTGGTTACGAGTCGGGCTGCCAACCTCAAAGTCAGCAGTTCGAAACTACCAGCGGTTCTGTGGGAGAAAGATGAGGTGTTCTGCTCCCGTAAAGATTTACAGCCTCAGAAACCCTGTGCAGGGTCACATTGAATCGGGAACTACTGACTCCACGGCACTTAACAACAACAATTCTCTTTTCCACGGTCATTTTTCCTTTACTTCATTCTGAGTCATCTTTGATCAAACAGAACAAAGATGTTCTGTTAATTACTCATCCTTTCAACAGCACAGAAATTATCTTTTGTGCATGTGAATTCTCTGTTGTGTGTGGTTTTGATGGAGATAGCAATTTATGATGACCATGTTTTAAACCATGGCCCAGGAGGAAAGATGCTAAAAATCATATCCCACTAAGGTAGCAAAAAGTGTTTCTGCCATCCCTTCACCTCCCTCTCCCGGATTCTTCAGCTGAAACCATTCACTTTCTGCCTATCATATTGTTGTCAGCATAATCCAGCCAACCATTTTTATTGTTCTTTTCAGACACCTTTTTAAACTAAAGATTGTACAAAAAGCTAGAATTTCAAATAATAAATGAGGTACCATAACATTGGCAGGTTGTAGGCAGAGTGCATGAGCAAACTTGAAATCGACCATTCTGCCTTGGCGTTTTAAAGATGAACGTGAACTGGGCTTGGGTACCCTTCGAATCTGCACTCAGGCATGCCCCAGAGACTTGGCACAGGGGTGAGAAGATCCTGGGGCTGGGGTTCTATTCACAAGCTGGTATAAACTGGTGGGTTGTCAAGACTTCTGGAGATGGGAACCTCAGGTGATAGGAAAAAGGAGTGATCCCAAGAAGGCTGTTTTGACAGTGAAACCCACCTGCAGCCAGACAGGAACTGGGGTGTATATGGATTGGGGGTTGTAGAAAGCTTTAAACCAAGAGGTAAGTTGAATAAGACCCTGGAAGACTCATGTGTCTCAAGCGTGGCTGACTGTATGACACTATGAAGAAATGTGTGTATGTGTATGCAAATGTTCTCACGTGTTCACACACAAGACCCTATCCGTATCTTTCCTGCCTCTAGAAGGTAAAATCTCATACTGACTACCTTTGGTGGTACAGGGCCAGTTGCTTTCAGTTTTAGGCAGGTGTTTGTGGCAGCTGTGATTTAGTGATAATTGTGTGAATAAGAAGAATTTTATGGGTAAAATTGATTGTAGCAAATGGAAATTCAATGGTGGCCCTTTCTGGGTAGTTTATAGGCAAAGGGTATTCCATTCTCTTAATTTCTCACTTTTTTTCTTCTTCTTTTACAGTTCTTTGAAGAAGCAGGATGCTGATCTAGACGTGCATAAAGTAAGTTATGACCAGTTTTGCTCTGAAAGCCTGTGAACGGGAGAGGTTTTCCCATTGAAGTTCAGGACACACCGTTCATTGTCAATTTTGGATTATGACTTTGAGGTCCTAGGTTTCTGAAAGAGAGGTTTAGTTGGGGATAGAGTTAGTTTAGGAAACAGAAAGGATCTTAAATGGCATAGGCAAACCTGTTATTGTCCCCTTTCCTTGGTTATAACACTAAGTGTGACAACATACATTACTTAGCTCTGTCTCCCCACCCCTTTTGATTTAGAAGAAAAATAAAATATCCATGAAAACATGTTGTAAGCTATTCCCCAGTAATTTTTGGAAGGGCGAAGGGTGTGTCTGAGTTGGCTCAGGGGCAGCAAGTTTGGTTTTTTAGGGTGTCAATTAGAAACGAGTAGTTGCGTTTTTCATATTTAAATGTGGCTTTTGTATGGTACCTCTTTTATGGTTTTCTTTTAAAAATAGTTGAATGTGTAAGGTAACACTGGGAGAAGAGAGACTGTAAAATGTGACACAAACTTGCTTTCTTACAGAAATTTCATTTTAAGAGTTTTCTAGGAATAGAATTGAACAGCTGTCCTGTGACTGCTGAGGCTTTGGGGGCTGGTGAAGGGTGGGCAGCCCCCCTTAATCTGTTCATTGGTGCTGTTGTGCCCTCCCTCCACTCTCAGATGTTTAGTTACTGCTTACCATCTCGTTGTACCTCTGAATTGTAGTCACTGTGCTAACAGGCCTTTCTTGCATTCACTGGATGTTTATTTGGTGTCCACTGGGTATTAGACACCACGTTGGGCTCTGTTGAGACAGAAATGAATGTGATGGATGATTCCACAGATAATGATAACACAGTATGACAGGAAAGGTGAAGCAGCTTAACCTGAGGATGGGACTATATGGAAGACTCCTACATGGAGGGAGTACATTGAGGAAGCCAGCATTCATTTTATTTTCTACAAACATTTGTTGAATTCTCTGTCTGTACTCCTTTTCTGCCGTAAGCTGTTCTGTTCAAGAACATTGCCTTTGGTAAAATTTTTTAGTTGTTTTGAGTTGTGTTATGTTCATAGTTCCCATGTCCACTAAGGGGCTACTACTTTGTTACTTTATTATCCAAAAAGGATTCAGGGTTATTTTTCATTTGCAGTTTGTGTAAAAAAGAGGTTCTTCCCCCTGAACTCGAATCATTCCGTATGTAGTCAGCGTGTCTGTTTAGAGGTGAAGATGTGTGCTGTTGAAACACTGTTCTAGAACAACTAGTAACAACCCAAGATCTTTGATCTCATGCACTCCTTCAGTCATGGTCTGTAATCTACTCTCCCTCATGGTCTTTTCAGTTCATACAAACCAAGGGGACTAGGGAAAATAAAAAGGCTCTAGTCTAGGAGTCCTGGTGTGGCGCTGTGGGATAATGCACTGGACTGCAAGGTCGGCAGTTCAAATTCACCAGCCGCTCCTTGGAAACCCTATATAGGGACGCTATGAGTTGGAACCGACTCGACAGCAATTAACAATAACAGCAGTCTAAGACAAAAGGAACCCTGGTGTTATAGTGGCTTACACATTGGTATCCTAAGCACAACGTCGGCAGTTTGAAACCACCAGCCACTCCTTGAGAGAAAGAGGAGCCTTTTTGCTCCAGGAAAACCTGGGAAACCCTACATTGGGTTGCTAGGTATCAGAATCAACTCAAGTGAGTGAGACTTGAGTCTAGGGCAGAGGGGTCCTGGTGGTACTGTAGGAGAAGTAGTGGACTGCTAACCACAAGATCTACAGCTCAAGTCTACAAACCGCTCCACAGAAGAAAGATGAGGCTTTTGCTCCAGTAAAGGTTTATAGCCTTGGAAACCCTATACAAGGTCACTATGAGTTGGAGTTGACTTGGTGGTATTGGGTTTGGTGATTTGGTGTCTAGAGACAAGGCAAAGGAGAATGGTTTAAGGATCTCTGTGCTTCTGTTTTGGCATGGAAACCAGAGGTAGGCAAACACTCTTCCCGTGGTCTGTCTGGGCTACACCAGGCACACAGCAGGCTGGAATCTGTGGGCACCAGGAGCCACCTCAGGGTGGTGTAACACAGAACTTAGCAGCAGTAGCATGACTTTCTGCACAGGTGAATCCTACAACCATAAGGGGGGGAAGTCAAGTTTATGGATGAGGCCAGGTCATTTGGGTTCCTAGTATTCTCCCCAATGCCAAGAAGACAGTAGCCTAAAAAAAAACCAAAAAACAGACCTACTTCCTGTTGAGTTGATTCTGACACACAGCGGCCCTGTAGGACAGAGGGGAACTGCCCTGTAGGATTTCTAGGGCTGCAGACTGCTTTATCTTCCTACCACAGAGCCCACAAACCTTTCGGTTGGCAGCCGAACCCTTAGCCCTGTTGTAACCAGGGCTCCTAGGCAAACAGTGTTGTTGTTAAAAGCCATTGAATCAGTTCTGAGGAGCAGTTGGTGAGTCTGAACTGCCAGCCTTATGGTTAGCAATCCAATGCTTATCCTATAGCAGCACACCAGGACTCCAATGTTGTTAAATGCCATTGAGTCAATTCCGTTTCATATCACATAGTGTTTACAAGGAGCAGCTCGTGGGTTTGAACTGCATACCTCGTGGTTAGCAGTCCAGTGCTTATCCTACAGCAGCACACCTGGATTCCAATGTTGTTGTTAAGTGCCATCAAGTTAGTTCTGACGATAGCAAGCCTGTATAGGGTTTCTGAGGAGCAAGTTGATGGGTTTGAACCACTGACCTTGTGGTTCAAACCGATCTTGTAGTACTGTGCTTTATCCTACAGCGCCACACCAGGACTGCAATAGGACTCAGTAAGTGGGAGCTTAAGAGAAATGACTTACATTCTTGCCTCAGTTCTGCCGTTAACTTGCCGTATGACCTTAGACAAATCATTTTTCCTTCTTGGTATAGTGAGTTTGCAACTTGGGTTGTTTGGAAGATGAGTTGATATCATACATACTAATGAATGCATTTTGTGACTTTCAGAGCATGAGAAAATACTGTTTCATGACACTACTTCTCAAAGACTTGCAACTACCAGTTGTTTGTGGTTAAAAAGCAGTCAGTTTTTAAATGGATTTTTAATTCACTAAGAGGCATCCTGGTGTAGTGATTTAGGATCAGCACTAGACTGCTAATCATGAAGCCGGCAGTTCAAACCCACCAGCTGATCCTCGGAAACCTATACAGGGTCACTATGAGTCAGAACCGACTTGACAGTATTTAGCAAAGCAGCAGTTCACAAAGAAAGGAATCTTGGTTGTAAAGTTTAGTTGTGGTGGCTGCAAACTTTATGGGAACAGATCACCAAATATTTTCTCCTGTGGAGCAGCAGGTAGGATTGAACCACTTACTTTTTGGTTAACAGTTGAGCGACTAACCATCGTACAACCTCCCTTTTCCAGGACCAAGTAAAATTGTTCATTTTAAAATTTAGAAACGCTATCATACATGCTATCTTACCAACCTGTGCTATGGGTCTGAACCAACTCAATGGCACTTAACAAAAAAACCAACATCATACATTTTGCGGGATAAATCCTGGTGGAATGGAACCTTATCTCCAGGAGCCAAACGCTAGTACCAATAAATGTTTAATGAATGAATAACACGTGTGACTTACCCTATCAGGTGGGTTGGGTATTTGCAGGTACGGAAGGAATTCAAAATGTTGTTGTTAAGTGCCGTCGAGTCAGTTCCGACCCATAGCGACCCTGTACAGGGTTTCCGAGGGTGTAAATCTTTACGGGAGTAGAAAGCCTCATCTTTCTCCCGCGGAGCGGCTGGTAGTTTCGAACCGCTGACCTTAAGGTTCGCAGCCCGATTCGTAACCACTACAAAATAGGAGTATCTAAAACTGGCTTGGGAAATGCTTCTTGGACTGAGTGAATTTGAGATACCTCTCAATCAAGTACTAAAGTAATAAAACACTTAACTCCCTTAGGGGAATTTGCTCTTTTGGAAGTTTTCATTCAGAAACTCAATTTGAGTCTCTTTTTCTAATGCTGATGGAAGGCTGTTGAACATAGATGTCTTTCTTGCCTGTGCTTATGTCTCTGCCAGGAAGAATCTAGTATAGGTTCTGTCTCCATTTTCTAAGTAAATGGCACTTGTGGGTCAACCAGAGTGAAGAAAAATCTTTGAAGTCATATCACAGTGTATTTGGTTTTTTTAAAATAGATTTTTGAGTTTTCTATTTTTAAAGCAAGTAATGCCATATATATATATACATATATACATACATACACACACACATACATATAGCTATACATACGTATATATTGAGCCCTGGTGTGGCGCTGTGGGTTAATGTGCCAGACTGCAAAGCCGCTTGAACTGCAAAGTCAGCAATTCAAGCTCACCAGCTGCTCCTTGGAAACCCTATATAGTGTCACTATGGGTTGGAACCAACTCGATGGCACTTAACAACAACAATGCCGTATAGAAAATTAACTTTATTTTGACATGAAAAGTTCAAAGATCAGTTAGCATAAGTTCTATAATTTTTAGTAGCTACAGTTAAGGAGCTCTGGTAGCGTAGTGGTTACGAATCAGGCTGCAAACCACAAGGTAAGCAGTTCGAAACTACCAGCTGCTCCGCGGGAGAAAGATGAGGCTTTCTGCTCCTGTAAAGATTTACAGCCTCGGAAACCCTGTACAGGGTCGCTATGAGTCAGAACCTCCTCCACGGCACACAGCTACCACCGCAGTTTATGAATGTCTACACTATAGCAAGTACTTTACATATGTTATACTAAACTATTACAGCAACTCTGTGAGACACCCATGTCCCTTACCATGAATTGATCAAGGTCCACAATCTTTACAGAAAAGATTCAGATCTAATCTGAGTCCAGAGCCTTTTCTTTCCCATACTGCCTTGCTTTAGAATTAGTATGATATTTGAGATTATCTATCTTTATGGGGGGCTCCTGATGTGATGCTGTGGGCTAATGCGCTGAACTGAAGGGTTGGTTTGAACTG